CAAATTCTGTTTCTCGGACTAATACTGCTGGTGACGATTATCCTGAAAGACTTGAAAATGATTCAGGGGCAAAAGGACTTTCATTCCCACAAAATAACTTGATTGAAAAAGGAGATGAAACAGGTAATATGCATACTGGTGATGAAGGTGGCTCGGTGGAAGATTCAAATATAACCAGAAATGCCCTATTTCCAGTTGTGGATACGATTTCTTGTTCAGGTTTTAGTTTAAACTCTGGAAACTTGCATCAGTTTTCGCTTGTGCTGGATCCTCCTGCTATCTCTTTGCGACAGGACAGTTCTCCAGCAGTGGGAAATATGTTGTCACAGGTCTCTGCCCCGTCTCAGTGTGAGAGAACACCTAGCCAGGATGGGCTATTATCCATCTTTGATCTTCGGGAGTCTAAGCAGGGTAATACATCTGTTAACATTGCAGACCATCAGCAACACATTTCAGGGCATCCACCCGGTGGGTCCTCCCAGGATCTCAGGGACTATCCCCTGCATATTCCAACCAAGAAAGAAATGAATGGAGATATTAGTTGTCTACCGCATTCTAAGTCTCAAAGCATGTCAAATTCTGAAGTGGTTCTACCTTCTCCAGAAATTGTCCAAGGATTTTCTACGTAAATGTAGTAGCTCAAAACCTAACAGTTCAGCATCAGAAAATCCTCTTCTATCCACAAAAGTAGAAGAACTAACTGATCAATCAAGATCCCATTCGAGGAGTTTATCCGATACAGACAAACCATGCAGAAATGGTGATTTCAAACTTTTTGGTCAGATACTCACCACTCATGATAGTGATAAAGAGACAAATCATCCCAGACACTGTGGCAAGTCCTCAACTACGAAATTCACTGGTCATCCGAATGCAGATGGTAATAATCTGTCTATGCTTAAGTTTGACTGCAGTAACATTGGCCTCGAAAATGTTCCTTTAAGGAGTTATGGTTATTGGGACGGGAACAGAATACCAACTGGGTTTCCGTCTTTGCCAGATTCAGCTGTTTTGCTTGCCAAGTATCCTGCTGCATTTGGCAATTATCCTTCCTCTTCCCCTAAAGTGGAGCAGCAGGCACTGCAAGCTGTTGTCAAGAGCAGTGAATGTAGTTTAAATGGTCTGTCAGTCTTTCCTCCCCGGGAAGTTAGTGGCAGTAATGGTGGGATGATGGAATATCAGATGTACAGGAACCGGGATAGTTCTAAAGTTCAGCCATTTACAGTTGATATGAAGCAGCGGCAGGACATATTCTCTGAGATGCAGAGACGAAATGGATTTGAAGCAATGTCGCAGCAGGGTAGAGGGATTGTAGGAATGAATGTGATGGGAAGAGGAGGGATTCTAGTGGGGGGACCATGCACAGGTGTTTCGGATCCGGTGGCCGCCATTAAAATGCACTATGCCAAAACAGAGCAGTATGGTGGGCAGAATGGGGGCATAGTCAGGGAAGAGGAGTCTTGGAGAGGCAAGGGTGACATAGGCAGGTAGTAGAATTCTCAGGAGAGGATCCCATCAATTGGGGCTCCTCAGCCAGGCAATCTCATCTTTTCATTGCCGGGTTCTGTACAATAGTTTTTGTATTGTTAAATGAAATGATAGGTGGACGGTTCTGCGGTTCCGTCCTTTTTTTTCTTTTTGGGGTAAAATATTTTTAGGTGCTTTGTAATGTTGCTAGTAGCTTTGTATTTTCTTGTATTTTGATGCCAATACAGAAATAATCTGTCCGAGCTGGGAGTGGACCAATTATGGGTTTCCTCCTTTCAATCATTCATCATGCTGATGGTAGTCATCCCGCAATTTCTTCTTCATACAGGTGGCCTTCTTTTTATCCCAAAGGCTGTGTTGTTTTTCTGGTTCAATCTCTTTT